TATCTTCTGACGAGGCACACACTCCTCCTCTGCTCACAAACCCTAAACCCTAAACCCTAAACCCTAAACCCTAAACCCTAAACCCTAAACCCTAGACACTGAAAAAAATGGCCTTTCAGAAGAGCCATTACTCGTATTCTTTGCATACAGATAAACCCTAAACCCTAAACCCTAAACCCTAAACCTCTAATACAGCTGTGCTCCTCTACTCACGCTAAAACCCTAAACCCTAAACCCTAAACCCTTGTAGGTGAATATTGAACTCTAACTGGCACACGGAGAGCGATAGAATTGTCAACATATGTAAACCCTAAATTAGGGTTTAGGGTTTAGGGTTTAGGGTTTAGGGTTTAGGGTTTAGGGTTTAGGGTTTACCTTTTTCTGCGATTTGTTCAGCTAGAAAATTCGGTATTCTGAGGCTTTTTCTTTGTTGGTTATGTTCTTTATTTTCGTTTTCTTTTGCATCATCAATTAATATTTTTATTGTTTTTTTTGTTTCTTTTTCTTCTTCTCTGCTTTCTCCCTCTATTATATTCACAAACCGCGCGGTTTTGCTGCTCTTTCTGTTGCTGCTGCTTCCAACCACTAAACCCTCATTTATAAAACCCTCATCGTCCAAACCCTCATCGTATAAACCCTCATCCCCTAAACCCTCATCAGCTAAACCCTCGTTAGATACATGAATCAAACCCTTCTCTAAATCTGCTTCTTCTCCTTCTTCTTCTCCTGCTCCTGCTCCTGCTGCTGCTGCTGCTGCTGCTGCAGCAGAAGGTGCAGCAGCAGCAGCAGCAGCAGCAGCAGCATCATTCTCATCACCTCTCCACGCAGAGAAAGAACCCTCGGGGGGCCCCCCTTCGGCCTGGGGGGCCCCCCAGCCAGCAGACTGAGCCTCCTCTACTTCTGCTGCTGCTGCTGCTGCTGCTGCTTCTGCTGCTGCTGCTGCTTCTTGGTTCTCTGTTGAGGGGCCAGGCAGCAGCTCTGCTGCTGCAGCAGACAGCTGCGACCGCACCTCTTCTGGGGCTTCCTGAGGTGTATGCATGCATGCAGCAGCAAACCACTCAGGTGTATAGGCACCTAAACCCTAAACCCTAAACCCTAAACCCTAAACCATAAACCCTAAACCCTAAGGGCTTAAAGTGTTCTCTGCTGCCACGCCAGTAAACCTCACCACACTCTAAACCCTAAACCCTAAACGCTAAACCCTAAACCCTAAACCCTAAACCCTCGGCTCACTTCTGTTGAGTTCTGAGGAACAACAAAAGGATGGGGGGCGGCAGCAGCAGGGGCAATAGACCCCCTGCATATGCAGAACGCAGCAGCAACAGATGCAGCAGCAGCAGCAGCAACAGATACAGCAGCAGCAGCAGCAGATACAGCAGCAGCAGCAGCAGATGCAGCAGCAGCAGCAGCAGCAGAAGAAGCAGCAGCAACAGATACAGCAGCAGCAGCAGCAACAGATACACCAGCAGCAGCAGCAACACGTACAGAAGCAGCAGCAAGAGCTGCTGCAACAGCAGCAGCAACAGATACAGTGGCAGCGGCAAGAGATGGACCAGAAGCAGCAGCAACAGCTTCAGCAGCAACAGCAACAAAACCGCCAGCAGCAGCAGAGAAAACAAAAGCAGCAGCAGCAGCAACGAGGGCTGTAGGAGCGGCAGCAGCAACGGATGTGAGCAGCAGCAGCAGCAGCAGCAGCAGCAGCAGCAACAGCAGATCTATACGCAGCAGCACGAAAGCCTTCAGCAGCAGCAGCAGAAGCAGTAGATGCAGAAGCAGCAACAGCAAGGGTTGCACGAGCAGCAGCAGCAACCAGCAGCAGGCGAAAAAACAGCAGCAGCAGCAGCAGCAACGAGAACTACGCCAGCAGCAACAACAGGTACAGAAGCAGCAGCAAGAGCTGCAGCA